ATAACCCCACTCTCAAGTGAAGCCCGACTGATATAAATTCTGAAGATTAGGTGCTTTAACTACCTTCGGTAGTCCGTCCGAAAATCCAGGAGCGGGGATAAGGCCCCGGCTACACTTAGTGTTCCATATTACATTTTTAGAAGTTCTAGCAAATCCTGTAATGTGTTCAGTCTAAATTTACTTCCAAGCCTAGTGACCTCAATTTTGGAAGGGTTTTTTATTCTTACATTTCCGTGAATGCTCTTCAGTGTCAGTTAGATTACAACTTTTCAAAAATCGATTTCTTCTCTAGTAGAAGTTAGCAGTTCGAACTAATCCACTTAGGGAGGCTAGTGGTAATCTTTCTCCGGGGAGGATAATTGGGATTAAGAATTTCTTACAGTAACACAGTGTAAGTTCTCCAATGACCATTTATTGTACAAGGCAATTCAACTTCTCTTCTCACAAGCGGATAGTTTCCTTGCCAGAAGTTTTGCTCCCATCTATCAGGCAGATTCGGTTCGAAAACACTGTTTACTCGAAGCACAGCTTAGATTTATTATTTGACCGTATGTGTGGTTGGTCCTGTAGGTCGAGTATTTTCACTCCTCCCGGCTAAAAATAAAGTCAAGGCAGTTTGACTGTTGTTCTTCCCCAGTCTATTTGTAGGAGATAATATTGCGACAGAGCAAATTTTCCGCTGCCCACTGTAGCAAGTCGAAATTCAAATAACTCGAGAGGCCCTGCACAGCTCTTTTTTGCCAGTCAATATCAGGAACATTAAAATCACAACGATAAAGATATCTTTCTTTTACTTACTTCGTACTGTTCAGTTATGTGGAGATTATGGTCAGACATCTGGCTAGGCGAATGATATACCACTGATAGGGTAGCGGACGGGTGTCTTTAGTGAAAAGAGTTCCAAAATCTTTGGCACGCAATGTATTCCATTGTCGGCGGCTACTAGCAGCTGGTATAGACTATAATCGCTCCTCCTCGGCCCTTCCTACGTCTTCTGAAATGTTGATGTCCGCTGAGGGATATATCAGATTAATCAATATTTGGAACAAGTTAAGTTTATATAAAAGCCAGTTTGTTGAACAGGTTTTGCACATTTGGGAAATTGGCCTTCAGGGATCGTTTTCGTGAGTAGACTTAGCCATCATTGCGACTGGTTTAGTCCATGAAAATGGTTCCTTGAAATCATTATTTGGCCATCTCTGACTTTCATGTCTTTTACCCATCTGTCTGTCCTCTACTCCATTATCAGTTGCCTCATTTGGAGTCTTTCCTTCGATTTGCTGTCCAGCCGAATATCATTGCTTTATGCCACTGCCGTAGTTACATTTTCCTTTCTGACAGTAGCGTTGTTTGGACTTTATTGTCCGAAATGATTTTAGGGGGTCTTTCCATCGATCCTAAGTCACGATTCGATCTTGCTTTGCCTAGTCAGAAAGTTATTTTTACGGTGAAAAGTTCCCCATCCTGCATAATAGCAGCCTTGCGTTACATCTCTTACACTCTCCTCACTCTCAGGCTGCTGGGCTCGGTGTAAGGACAGAGTCAAGAAGTCGGTGGGCGGTATCTGGCGCAGATGGCTGAAGCGGCGTGAGCCTGCGTCAAGGAGTGCCTCCAGTCCCACATTCATAGCATCTTTTATGGGTGTGCAGCGTTGTGACACATGCCACAACCTGGGCACGCCCCCTGTTAGTCCAGGGCAACTCCTACGCTGCCCGTTGCATTCTGGGTCAGCCAGAAGCACTACAAAGTGCACACTATGGAAAAGTTTGGCAGTAAGATTTAAAACCCCGGTATATGTTTACATAAAGGGGGGTTTCACCTATGTGTAACTCTGTAAATTGACTAGCTTCTTGGTGGTTTTCGAAGCGAGGGACAAGAAAAAACTGTTACAGAAGTAAACTAAGGCAAGCGCGAATCACAGTTGCTAGGCTTACCTCATGGGCAGCAGTAGGCTTCGTCGCTTGTGTCAGTCGGACTGTCATTTCCCGTGAAACTGCTAATATGGTTGATAACATATTCAGCTGCACCTCAAATATAGGCGTTTTCGATAGACAGTATGTGCTTTTATACTGAACGTTCCCCTATTGTATAGAAGGGCGACATTAAAATAGTACCCAATGTTAGGTGTCCTGCTTAGTCTTTTTTGTTTCTGCAAAGGGCGTCGTACAGGCCAGGGTTTGAAGCTTGAGCTGTACTAAGAAATGGCATAAACGCCGTCGCATTACTTTATACCAAGCATTCGTACTCGCGTATTAAAGGGAACTTGTAGGTCTCTGGATATAGCAATAATGGCAAAGAACTTCATAGTCACCAGCAGAGATTTTCAGCATTCATTGAAAACAACACTGGTACATGCGATCATTGCTATATTTAAAGCGTAGCGACTGATTCCATCGGTCGACTGCAAGCCACGCCTAAGGATTATTGACAACGTTTAGTCCTTCTATGGCAAAATATTAGCGAACTGCCTCCTACTCCTTATAAGAACAGATTGTGGGTCAAAATCTGACACGACAGCATTCGGCAGAGCAGCTCCACAAAGGAAGGATTTTCGAAGACCAATCTTGACGTTCGGTTTCTCCAGTGAAATCTCGTACAGCACCTTGTTGGGTAGTAATACTGAAAACCCATTTGCCCGACGATTCACTAAGTCTATTGAATGTTCCACTATAATTCGTCTATTATCGTCCACGTTAACTGATCTCCTGACTTGGCGTCTCCTCTGAACGTCGTTTTGATCTATTTTAGGTCTTTCCCGTAACCGCTGAGATAAACCAAGAGGAAACATTTTTATGGTTGGATTTGGAGCATGGGTTCAAATATACAGATCTCATGAAAGCGGACTCGGACCGGAGAGCTGTATTTGCGCACTTCGGAGAGTTCCCCTACAGGCGAACCACCGCCACTTGCACGAAATCTCCCCTTAGTGCCGCTGTCACGGATTTTTAAGAGGCCTAATGGTTGGCCCATGCCTTCCTACATCCGCCCATGCGCCGTAACAAAAGAAAGAATAGCCAACGTTGTTTTCTTGAATGTGCACTTTGCAATCCCTCGTGGTGGAGCACACATGGCGAACTGGTGTACTAGAGACCTCTCAACAACTTTAAATTCAAATCTACGACATTCTTCACAAACATCTTGTGACAATGTTCCCGAAGTGTGCAATGCATATTAGCATCCAGCCTGGA